ATGTTTAGAATATCCTCATTATGCGACTAACATATACATGATTTTAAAAGATATTATACAAGAATATGGCACGCAAGAAATGGTTCGAAATTTTACTTTTGATATACAAACTTTTTCCAATGATATTTGTTAAAACGTAAACTTAAATAATGCTAATTACAAACTTTTTCCAACTTGGATTTTCATCAAAAAGGACCGTGCCTGCGGGCCGAGTAGGGCCGGCCTTTTGAAAATAGGCCGGTAGTCTATTCTCATGAGATTTGGTTCTAAAAGATCTGTCATGATGAAATGTTTGCTGACAATTCAAATATATTTTGATCCCTATAAATATTTTATTTATCAAGACAAATTTGTCAGTCATTTGTACTATGAATTTTTGATTCCAAGTGTACATTATTTGTTAAAAGTAATTTGATTATTCGATCTAGACTTGTTAATAAGAATTTCTAAAGAATGATTGAATTATGTAACTTTTTTTTATTGTTTTTTAGTTATGGTTCATAAATCATATGACTATTAATTTGCTACAGATTAAATTAATATTTTTAGTAAATTTTAATAAAAGTCGATGAAATGTGTGGTTGAAAAGTTGTGGATCCCATAAAATATATGATTAAAATTAATATTGACTTTAATTTGAGATTTTAATTNAAAAATTGTGGGTCCAACGTAATATATTGTTAAAATTAATTGTTAATTTAAATTTGAGATTTTAATTGAATTTTAATCCAAACCAAACGGGGGCATATATACTGGAAGTTGCCTCTTTTGACCGCGTGACTTTTCTTTGATTTGAATTGTATTATTTTCTCCATCTTTAAATTTTTCCAGCTTTCACTTAATTCTTTTAACAAGGATCATGTGGACAAAATAAGAAATCAATCACCAACAATTTGAACACATTTGCATAGTACATCTACCAGAATATTATTATCTAGCACCAGTTTATATGACGACATATGATATGTTCAATTAAAAATGAAATTTATTTAATGGAACCTTTAATTTAATCGTACTAATACTGTCACCTAAATTTGTATTAAATATCAGTTATGCTAAATAACATTACTCCATCTAGAATATTAATAGTCCACAC